CGATTTGCAGCACTACAATCGTTATAATCTTCCGAGTAATTGGCTTTTTAAAAATTATTTACATCTCTTTAGTTTCAGAGTTATTATTGCTATTTGAGTGCAATGTGTTTTAGTATTTGCGATTTTCGCCTCGAACTGAATTTTTATTTTGGAAACTGATTTTAATTTTGGGAAAGAGAAAAAGTCGCAGGGAGCAAGGTCTGGGAAGGGTGGGGGAGGACAGTCATCTGATTTTTGGCACAAAACTTGCGAATTGACAAGGCTGAGGCAGGCGCATTGTTATGGTGAAGGAACCATGAGTTGTCTCGTCATAACTATGGTTTTTTTTTGCAAATTTTGTTGCGCAATTTTTTCAAAATACCATCGTAGTACTGATAATTAATTGTTTGACCTTGAGGCAAAAATGAATACTAAAACACGTGTTGCACTCAAATAGCAATAACTCTGAAACTAAACAAAACGTAAACAATTTTAAAAAAGCCAATTACTCGGAAGATTATAGTATTGTAAACGTCGCTAGAACGTGCCGAGTAATTCAAAAAGCTTATTTTTTTATCAAACCTTATATTATATATATATTCTTTTTTTACATGCGTTTTTATATTCTTATTCGTTACAAATTACCTATTATAAATCATATATGTATATATGTATATATAACGATTTGTAACAAGTAAGAATATATTACAACATATTGAAAATTGCTATTATATTCATTATAATTTATATTTAATGATCTGAAATTAGCTCAACTGAACTACAAACTATACATTTATGTAACAAAAATTATCTGTCACATATAGTCATTCAGTAGTGTATAAATAAAAATAAATGATGTAATCATTCCAAGAAAACAATCAATATGATTTTACATATATGTATGCTGCAATATATAAAAATTCTTGATATAATTAATATTAAATATTTTTATATATAAATAAATTATATATTATTGTGATCATACGTAAAATGCAATTCAAAACACGTGGATCATTATTGTCAAAGAAAAACTGTATATGCCATTAGACATAATTAGTAAAAAAAATAAAATATTATCAAAAATGTGCGACGCAAAAAGAAAACTTGACAACAAAGTGCAAAAAAGTGTATTGTATTTTATTTATATACATAAATGGGACTCTTATATATGTACATGTATCATAAAAATGTTATTATTGCGTCGATATATCTCAATATAAATTGTTTTTCTTTTTTACTCCTCGTCCTACTATTATTGCTTTACGTAATTTATACACAGATTAATTCTGTTGATTTATTTCGAATCTAATGCTCTGAAATTATCATCTTATACTTCATTAATTCATGCGACATTCAACCACTCTTCTAATATATAATAAATTTACATTTAAGTAAAATTATACAAATCAATAAGATATTAAATATCCATGTGCTAAAAACATTTTTGTTTGTATAAAGATCCATCTAAATTGTAATGTTTATCGTAAGCTCTTTACGATGATTGTAACGCTCATCATAACAATTATCGTAAGCTCGTCGCAAGAATTAATTTTTACGATTACGATGCTTGTCTCGCGATACGATAGTCCATGGTCGATTGATAGACTAAACCCATCATTTTTTCGATAACATTTTTTTCACTATCATCTCTATAAAAAAGCTCTATAAAAAGCGATATTTACAATGTTTTATTTGGTCTTACATTCTAAATAAATGATGTAATCATTCCAAGAAAACAAACAACGCGATTTTACATATATGTATGCTGCAATATATAAAGAATTCTTGATATGTTAATATTAAATATTTTTATATATAAATAAATATTATATATTATTGTGATCATACGTTAAATGCAATTCTAACACGTAGATCATTATTGTCAAAGAAAAACTGTCTAACATTCTGTTATTAGCTGCGTTACCATCTTATGTAAACAAACAATGTTTACTAGCTTCTTTTCTTATGATTATGACCGTTACAATCGCAACGTTATGATAGATGTAGATAGATGTATTAGATAGATGGGTCTTCGTAAAACTAGATTAGATAATAAATACAAGATAAATAGAGTGAATTCTTGGCATAAATTAAAAATATTAGCTACTTTGCCTAAAATTATAAACAATTATTATTAATTACATTTTATAGTTTTCATCTTTTAAGAAAGAACAGATAAACATGTTGTGTCACCATATAATATTATGATTTCTGTGCAGCAAAACAAAAAAAAAATTTTTTTTAGTAACAATTTTTTTCATCATCCATAAGCCAGTCGCGATTTTCCTCCAATAATTTCTTCCAATATCCTGTAAACGTAATTTTTTATATTACATACTATCTAATATAGTTATATATATCAATGAACTCTAAAAATAATTGCTGTTGAACAATTGCTTATCTTAATAGTAAAAAAATTATTTTTCTTCTACTTAGTAAGAAAATCTGTATCACACATTTAATAAACACGTTTCATTCCATAATTACCTGCTAATTCCTGAAGTGTATCATCAGTGCCTCCAAATTCGACGGGCAAAATATTAGCTGGAATATCCTTGAAACAATCCTGCATCGCACTTTGTGAATAGACGTGCAATCTATTCTTCATCTTTTCAATCATAAAAGATCTAAACATTCTCAAAATAATATCGATATATTTGTTTACGTTAATAATGTTAATCGACTGAATTCTCAAAGGATAGCTACTCTGCCATCCGTGAACCAAATTCATTATAACTTGGGGTCGCATTTGAAGAGCATGTTGTATAGTTGGATTGGCTACGTCTAGGAACAATGAGCAGCCATACACAGATACTGTGGTATAATTCTTTATCGCAATTTCTGTCATCATCACGGCGATCTAAAAAATCATCCGAAATAATATATGATAATTATAAATAATTTATCATAACAACATCTATCATAAAATATTCGAGCATTATGCTACTTTAGCTATGTCTGCAATTTTGTGTTTCTTCGGGTCATGCCGAGTGCCATATATGATCATAACCAATCTCCCATGATTGTCTGGCTTCCGCAGAGGCAAAATTATCCTAAACATGAATATTTAAAACTCTTTCGAAAAATCAAAATATCTTTTGGTATTATAACAATGCATCGAATATTTTCAAAAGTTCTTAATAAAATATTCTTCTTAAAATTTAAAAAGAAAAAAAGTTTATAAATCAAATATTGATTTATAATTTTTAAACAAGTTATTAGTAAAATTGAAATAACAATATAAAAATTCTGTTGGGAACCTAAAATAAATAAAACAAATTAATTTTTTCAGTGTAAATTGCATATTTGCAACATTCATTTTAACATTAAATTCAGGATAAATTCGGAATCTGAGCAAATTGATTATATTTAAAAACTAATGATAGAAATGTATGTAGTATTAACTGTTAACACTAAAAAACGTAATTTATCTGGCAAAAAGATCCCAGTAGGGTATAGTATATCGATTCTTCACATACAAAATATTTTTTAATAAAATCAATAAAAATTATTTGTTTTAAATAACAAAATTGATGTCGTTTCTAGAGAATTAAAGGAAATAAAGAAATAGGAAATAAAAGAAAATTTACAAAATTTGATTAACATTCTAAAATAATAATCGTTACCCTAAATCAAGTAGTTCTTGTAGTTCCGGTCGAAATGGATTTTTATTCATGTACCATTCTGGTAAGCAAAATCGCTGTTTATAATAGTTTTGCATTCTGATCTTAGTTTTCTCAAGATTAAATTTGCAAACTCTCAAAAATCGCAGGATAAGAAAGTCACCTGTGTACAGATTAAAAATTCGTTTCAAATAAGAAACTACAATTGAAGCGGTATTAACAATAAATCTTATTATGTATTATAAATACATTCATAGAGTAGCATGACTTTAAGAACAAAAATTTCCGTTTAACATCAGAAAATATTAAAGAGAGGCTTTATTATACTAAGATTTTTATTATATCAAGAATTTATTAAGCTATTGTTAAGAAATTAATATTTATAAGCATTTTAATTATAAATTATTATAGATCACTTTTTTGAAAAAAAACATGTTGTATAATGGTATCATATTTTATTCTGCTCAGTTAATCCGCACAGATGTAATATATTTCACATCTTTTGTCTAAAATGACACATTTACATATACAATCAAAATTGCTAAACTTTATATATATAGCAATCAAAGTGTAAAAGTAAAAGTTAAAAATTTAAATATCTTATTGTTATTTATAATGACTAATAAAACTTTAATGTAATCGATGCATAAAGTTTAAGAATAGTATTAAAGTATTAAATCTAATCATTGCATAATAACCTAGATAGCCCCAAGATTTAGCATATGGAACAATTGATGCATGTTTTGCGACAATTGTTTTTAACAATACATTGTATTGTCGATAATTTGCTGTTATTGAAATCTAATGAATTGAGCTAACATCAAGAAAACAAATAGATTTCATGAGTTTATGAAATTGTAAGAGTATATATTGAGAAATAATAAACTCATCACGTTGACAGCAAACTGACGGCCATGCACACATGATGACAACTTGCCAGCAGTTTGCTGAATTCTAAGGAAGATTTTACGTGACATCAGAACAACAGTTGGTGGAAACAACTTTGTTTTTAGTTTGATAAAATTGAATTGCGGAATAAGTGACAGCAAAATGGCAACATATTGCTCTTATTTGGCTATCTGTTCATCTATATTTACAAACATATTTTAATTACTAAAATGACAGAGAAATATGGAAATTTTTTTCTTGCTTTCTTGATTAATTAAAGATATTAAAAATCAATTATATTCTTTAATTCGTTGAATAAAGTACTAAATAACTTCGGCGCCTTAGGAATGCACAGAAATACCTGAAAAGTATCCGGCATCTGATATTATCCGGCACTTTTTTACTATTCGACTGGATAGTTGGATATCATTAGTATTCGAATATATCTGATTGAAATTTTATATTAAAAGTTTGCGTCATTGATGCACACTTCTATTCTTTTCAGCTGAACTTTATATCTTCCTTTTTTTCTTTTCACATTGAAGAGATAAAAAAAAAAGAAAAATTGTGCAAGAAGTTCAGCTAAGGCTGCATTCGGGGAGCGATAGCAACACTATCAGCGCTAGCGTGTCATTCTATTATTTTATCATTAATTAGATATAAAACAGGAATAGCATATAGCGTATTTCGAATTACATATAAAACGCTTGATGCATTTATATTGTTCTTGTTGCTTTATCGAATACTAAAGAAGGATAAAATGATGCCGACGATATTATTAAAGACCGTCAATCCTGGGCAAATTTTCGTCCATACAAAAAGAGCTCTGAGAGATTGAAGAACACTTACATCATCGACAATTGATATAAATTTGCGATTATTATTAATATAAATATTTTAATAAGATATCATTAAATTGATTTTTTATTACATAAATGTTCTATGTATAAGTATGCATGTATAAATAAGTATGTATGTATACTTATGTTATAATATCTTATATATTACAAAATTATAATTTTTTTCTCTATATAATTATCATCTGTTGATAATCAAATTCGAATAATAATATTAAAATCATAATTATTATTACTATTTTTTTCTTACAGTCCCTTTTCTTTTTTGCTCCTTTTTTCTTTCTTTATTTAGCTTTTTTTTAGACATTGTTTCAGATATTTGAAAAATATCTGGATATCCGATTCGAAAAATTGCCTAACTAGATATCGGAAATCTGATGTTATATTCTTTTCAGATATCTGATAATTTTATGATCCGATGCATCCCTAATTTTATTATTCGAAATTAATAATTCGTAATTCAAAAACTCAGGCGATATATTTTAATGCATAGTCATTACCTCTATCATTTTTATTAATTTGTATGCGCAAGTCATCGCACTCTTCGATCCAGCGTTTGATCTCCGCAATGGCGTTCTTTCTAATCTTGTCAGTTTCGTTCAAATGTACCGCTGCATATTTTTTATCGTCACTTGTCAGTTCTTGCCTAGTGTGCACAACGCTGTCGCTGTAGTTACTCGCCATCGTGATGATAGTGAATGTGAAACCTTGTTCACGGAGAGACTCACATGTGCTGGTTGTAAAAACTCGAATGCACAAAACTCGAACGCAACGCGCGATCAATGATAAGTATGATCTGCAGACAATTGCACAAGTATGTGTTCTTTGGAATGACTTCTTTGACAAATCAACTTTAATAATCAGATATTGCGCCATCTGCAGTACATAATGTACATAATAGATTAACTTAAGATTGATTAACTTAATGAATATTTAATATTCATCATTGAACTCGAATAATATAGAACGTGTATTGCTATGTCCATAAAAAAAATGAGAATAAAATAATATGATGATAAGGAACTGTTTAACTATTCTGCAACGGAGAAGATTCTTCGGTGATGTAGACTATCTGTCTCTTTTTAACCACTCTATAATTGGTCTCACTCTGACTCTCTGCTGCTATGAATCATAGCAAGCAGTGCACGTTCGAGTATTATTAGAGTCCAGTGGTACTCATCTTCGAAAGGATGAAAGAAAAAGAGAAATAATTTTCTTTTCAACTCGGTAAAGATTAGAACAAAGCGCTATTAACTAGGATAATTAGAGTAATTACCTTAATTATTTATGCAACTTTTTAAAATTGTAATTAACTTAAAATAAAATACGAGAACATTATGTAAAGTATCTGAGTCGAATAAAGCTCAGTACTAAATAAGACCCACTTTTAAATGTATTACTTTAAAATTCACTCATTTTAAGCCTGCAGTATATGTTTAAAAGATTTGTCACAGGAAGTAGATAAAAAGGGAGATAAAGAATTGGAATCAGTAGCAACACGTTTGTTTAATACAACAAAAACGTGTATAGAGCCATTTTTATAATAATCCGCTAAAAATTTATTAGTATATAATATTTCATAATTTATTATAATATTATTTAACTTCCTAACTGAAAAATAACTAATGAATTAATTTTTTGAAATAAATATTTAAAATAAGTATTTTGAAATAAGTATTTGAAATAAATATTTTGAAATAAATATTTTTTTTAAACAATGTGTTTATTGAATAATTATTTATGTAATTATTATTATAACTAATAGTGTTTTTTCTTAACTACACTATCGCTCACCAGTCGCAACACTGAGCTGTTTCCTTGGCTGATAGGCGAATTCATTCAGTGTAATGTGTTTCCGGCTATAATGTAGTGCAAATTTTATGCAAATTTAAGTGAGGTTTTGCTACACGATCTTAAAGAGATGGTGTAGAGCTAGTGTGACATTAATCGGTAACAAAATTAACATAACATGAAATAGTGTACACCATGGTAGCATTGATACTTACACACAACTGGTGTAGTGCGAGATTACATTCAGAGAAAACGCTATAATTATTTGTTTGTTATATGTGAAGTTTACGCCAGAGAATAATAACTTTCAATGCTGTTATCTTTTAAGAAGCCAAAATTGCATTCAAATTGTTAGAAATTTCCAAAGATTAAAAAGTTAATTACAAAGAAAATTAAAGATAATTGTAATATTTGATAGTAGAGTAAATCCTAAGGAATATCTTTTTTATGATTAATAATCATTTTAAAACTGATTTAAAAAAATAATGTTATAATATTTTCTTTTAATTTACTTTTAATTTATTTTTTATCTGGACCTTTTATATTCATATGCATGTAATGAGGCTCAATATCAGAGTTTAACAAAAATTTTTTTATCGTTCATTTATACATATTGTACATAAACAATATATTTTTCTTTTGGGAGCAAATAAAATGAAGATTTGATTCTCACTTAATTTATTTCAGTATCCCCTATTTGTTCAATATATTATAAATAAAATTTAAAAAAAAATAAAATAAATTAAATGGGTCTTATTCGGCTCAGCTACCTTATTATAAACTTTTATTTTAATGTTAAAATAAGACTATCATGTAAATTAGTACTAGGATTTAGTTGCACATTTCGGCCGATTTTTAGCTTGGTTCCTGCTCCTTACTTCCCTGGCGATTGGCATTTAGGCTGCGCGGGGAATGGTGAAGAAAAGACAGGAACCAAGCTGAAATCTTTTTCGTATTCATTCGGTCGAAATGTGCAACTCAATAAATCCCAGCACTGATGTAAATATAAATACAACTAAAAATAAAATATTTAATAAGTTTCATTTAATTACAAAATAATTATAAAATGATTATAAAAAAGTTAAGAGTGTCACTGAGGATGTACATATATAGGCGCCATTCTTTTCTAAATAGAAGTGGAGCAAAACTACATCTTTTGAAAGCACAAGCAAATATACTATTTTTACCTTTTTATTTGTACTAAAGCAATTATATGATAATATTTAAATGACATTTTCAATTTTAAAATAAGCATAAAAAAATGATGATTTTAATTTATATAAATATATTGCGCATTAGGAACAATCATTAAGGTCTGCTTGCATTACTAGCGGTAATAAATGAACCTCATCTCTCTGTAATTCCATAACTTGAAAGAAATTGCACGCAATATGCTTTGATGTATAACACATAAAGAGATAAACATTGCATTTTTTATCTACTTAATGATGCGATTATGATGATTTTATTGATAATAAGCGCAGAAATTGCGTCTGAAAAAATTTCTCTATATTTAATTTAATCTATATAAGCGATCCGTTAATAATACGCGCTATTTTCGTAGTCTTTAATTAGAGTTTTCATATTATCGATATTTGGAATGTAATACATGCACTGTTTACATGAATATATTTGTACAAAAATTGAATTATGATCAGCGATTCTAAGGCTGCATTTTCATGCTGATACTCGACGCTCGATTCGAGCGTCAAACTAATCGAAAAGACACTTTTATCTTCGCTTGGAAATTAAATTGATCTTCGCAATTTTTAACAAATTGCTATCGTAATTAATATTGTTTGCTAATAGTGTACCTTTTGAACAAATATAGTTAATCAAAGAACGGACAGGAAGAGGCATTACAACTTACGATGCGACGATGTCTATAGTATATTTTTATCATAATAATTGCGCTGCTTGCAATAAATAACGGATTTAGAAGCTCGCCATGACAAATTTATGTACACAATAATTGCTATCTAATCCGAAAGATGTACAAACATTAATGACAGCTTAATTGCTAAAACTTTTACATTATGCAACGTATCAGTCTTTTAAACAAAATACCAGGATTAAGAAATAACTAATTACTTGTAAATAAGTTATAGTTACAGTTATTTTTTTTCAGTAGCTGTAACTTAACTTAGTTCCTTTTTTTCATCTGTAACTGTAATTTAATTTAGTTACATTTTTTCCAATAACTAGTAATTAATTTAAATTATTTTTAAATTACTTTACATTTTAAATTTATTTGTCAATTTAATGTGATTGGTTAAAATCTGAATATTGATTAAGGATACGGTCCACAACAAATGCTTCGAAATATTTTTTGATTGGTCAGTAAATTGTAAATGTAAATTATTTTTTTCTTTGAACCCTAATGCTATCGATGTCACTCACATTGTTCTGTTATGATAACAGAAAAGTATAATAACTGAAAAGTATTGTAACTAAAAAGTTACTTTTTTAGTAAATGTAACTATAATGAGTTAATTGTTAGTCTTAATAATTTGGAACTGCAACTAGTTATTTTTGAAAAAAAAATTGTAATTGTAACTAGTTATTTTTACAAAGTAACTTTCCCAACTCTGCAAAATACGTACAAATATAATTTTTCATATAAAGATATGCATATATAGTTACATTATTTTATGTATATTGTATCTATAATATACCTACTACGTATGTAGTCATATATCAATATATGTGAAAAGTAGATAATTTAAAAATACATGACAAACATATAACTGTTCAAAAACATAATATAAACTATACCTACTATTTTTTCTTAAAGTTTCATAATTCATCTTTTTCATATCATATCATTGATTAGTTCTCTTTGTATAACAAAAGGAAGACAGAAATATAGTTATTTTCTCTTTCATAGTCACTAAAGATAAAGTGTGACTTATACAATAAATAATGATAATAAATATATAATATCGAAGCTTGTACTAAGAACATCTCTATCGATACTAAATTTATTATTTCGAAATGATAATTTCGTCATTCCCTTCATTCATAAGCCAGTCGCGATTTTCCTCGATCAATTTCTTCCAATATTCTGCAAAAAGATGTTTTTTTTATAAAAATTGAATTATAAAGTTTGAATTAACAACTTTTAATGTTTCTTAAGCGTCTACTTGTAATTTTATTTGTGATAAATGCTGTTGAACAATCCTTTATTCATTAAACGCTTTCATTATGTTCTAATTTATTGCAATTACCTGTTAATTCTTTAATTGTACCATCAGTGCCTCCATACTCAATAGGCAAGATATTAGCTGGAATATCCTTGAAACAGTTCTGCATCGTTCTGTGTGAGTAGACGTGAAATCTGCTTTTCAATTTTTCCGTCATGAAAGATTTAAAAATTTTCACAACAACATCAAAAAATACCGGTGCATTGAATATGTTAATTAATTGGACCCTTGCTGGATAGCAATTCTGCCATGCGTGGACAAAATTCATTAATACGTAGGGTCGAAGTTGAGCAATATGTTGTAAAGATGGATTAGATACATCTATGAATATTGTATAGCCATACACGGATGCTGCAGGGTAACACTTCACCGCTACTTCTGTTGCTATTATGCCGACCTAAAAAATCATCCATCGAGAAATGCAAATTAAAAATATATATGAAAATATATATTCGTTCGAACTATTACATTATATTTATTTTTATTATTTATATATACCTTATATATATCTGATATTTTGTGTATTCTCGGATCATGTCGTGTGCCGTGCACAATAAAAACTAATCTTCCTTGATTATCTGGCTTTCGTAGAGGCAAATAATAACTATAATAAATATAAACAAAGAATTTTACACTTTTTCAAAGAATTAAATATATTTTTTTAGTTTTACAGTGATTTAGCCTTTGAATAAAATATTTAATAAAATATTCTTACTGATACACATGCATAACAAAAATGAAAAAAGAAAATTAATACAAATTTATTTTTAAATGTAAGTAATTTATCATTAAAATTGAAGTTGCAATTTGTGAAATACTTTGCTATATACAGAATGTTTTTGAAATAACGCCCACTAATTATACAATGCAATT